ACTAAATCTGACTACTTCGAAAAGTTTCTGACTATTTCTGGGAGATAAGGAACGCAACTATTTATAGATTGATGCACATACATGCATATCGTCGTTTAAAGTAAAAAACCGCGTATCGTCATTCTGCAAAACCGCGTAACTGACATTGGCTGCCAAAAATTGGATTTGCTCACACAAGCTCTTGGCTCAATCCTTATACAATCGTCCTAAAATATACTAGCCAAAAATGCTATTGTTTTATAAAAAAGAGAACCATTTTGATTTTACACTCTAGAAAATGATTTCTACAACTTCACATACGTGGTTTTGCATTTTGCTGATACGCGCTTTTGCATTTTGTTGATACGCGGTTTTGCACTTTAAACGACGATATGCATATGTATGTACATACATACAAGCACCAATTTATTTCATTTAAACCACTAATAGGTACTGCCTTGGCCGCGGGCAAAGCTCTTTTAAGCTTTCTATAAATTTTGTTCTGTTTGCGAACAGAGTAAAAGCTCTCTCTGCCCAACGCTGATTTAAGGAAATGGCTTGTCGTCCATTTACGCTGTAGCGTACATAGTGCACCACTGCACTATGCTTTTTTATAAGAACTTTGCAAAGCAAAGGTTTTATTGTGTTTGGACACACAACATTGAAAGTTGATGGACCCACAACATTGTAAGTTGATAAAATCGTTGCAAAAATATGGCCGACGAGATATGGCACTTGCTCAAAACGATTGAATACAAGTACTTTTCTTTCGATACCAAGTAGGTATCGGAACAACGATTCGAGTAAAAAAGGTAGTTGGTATGGAAACAAAAGTATCGAGTACATACTCGTATTTACTTGCACAGTATACCAGTAGAAAAGGTTTTTGTTGTTGTGGCTGTTAATTTGGTCCCCATAAAGGACTTGAGGGTTGCCAGCAACTGTTTTGCCGCACTCAGGGTGCCGTGCAGCAAAATAATGTGGTGAAAATTTTAACATCGGATAGATGGCGAGAGAAATATTGTTGTGCGCTTTATAAGTAAATATGACCGCAATAAAATGTTTTATACTTCAATACAACTAATTAGCGCTATTTTTGCAATTCGAAATGATCTTAAAACTATTTATAGTGAAATATGTACTTTATGAGTTAAATGGAAACTATCTTATATGTAAAAATATATTCCGATTTACTTCAAATAAATGATGTAAAATATTTTATATATGGATCTAGTTTTAGTAATAATATCTAGTACTTTCATCTACATTGCTTTTATTGTAAGTTTTCTCGAGTAGTTGCAGTTTTCTGCAATTGCCTCTGGCCGACTATACATGCTCAAGCTAAATAATTTCACAATTTCTACCCTATTAAACGTTTATATTTTAATAAAATGTGATCAATTACTTAAGAATATATAGTTTACGATCAAACTATAGTACTGAATGCTTGAGAGACAATTAGTTAAATCAAATGATCAATAGTGAACGCACTCGGGGCGAATTTTGGAACATGGAGCGAATTATGCATATTAACACCAAATAATTTCTAACTTTCTACCGTATTATACGTTTATATTTCAATTTAATATGATTAATTACTGAATAATATATAAACTCCGATCAAGCGTCACTACTGAATGCTTGACAAACAATATTTGAATCAAAAGATCAATAGTGAACGCACTCGGAGCGAATTTTGGAACACGATATGAAATATGCATGTTAAGACTAAGTAATTTCTCATAAGCTTATGTTTTAGTATAATATAATTCATTACTGAAGAATATATTAACTCCGATCAAACTATAGTATTAATTGTCAATGTTATTGTGGCTTGTTAAGATTTTATTTTTAATATTTTTATTG